GGTATAGTATGTGTTGCCATCTCTTTGTTGCGGGGAGGTTCACAGTCAGAGGCCTGTTCATGCCTACCATTTCCCTCCAGAAATGCTCAAGAAACTGCTCACACTGGGTACTCAGCATTGATTTTCACTTTAATCTTTTCATCCTTTTTAAATGTTTAAAATAATTTAAATGTGTTAATTGAAGTTTTTTTTTTTTTTTTAACTTAACTTGAAAAGGTAGTTCTCAAACATAATATAAAGTGGAAGAAGAAGACACAAAGAGTACATGTTACAGGATTCCATTTATATAAATTGCTAAACTAGGCAAAATTAATTCCTGGTGATAAAGGCCAAGCTATGAGACTCACGCATCCCGATTTCAAAACTTACTTCAAAGCTACAGTAATCAAAACAGTGAGGTACTGCCATAAAAATAGACATGGAGATATACAAACCAATGGAACAGAACAGAAAGTCCAGAAATAAACCCATACACCTACACCCAATTAATGTTTCAACAAGTGTGCCAAGACTATTCAGTGAGGAAAGATAACCATCAACAAACGGTGATGGGAAAACTAGATATTCGCATGCAAAAGAATGAAGCTATGTCATACCACACACAGAAATTAACTCGAAATGAATCAACAACCTGTGTAAGGGCTAAAACTACAAAACTTTTAGAAGAAAACGTAAGGGTAAATCTTCATGACCTTGGATTTGGCAATGGATTAATAGATATGACACCAAAAGCATACGCATCCAAAGAAAAAACAGGCAAGTTGAACTTCACCAAAATTAAAAACTTTTGTGCATCAAAGGATATCATGTGAAAAAAACAGAAATTTCTCAAAAGAAGAAATACGAATGGCAAACAGGTATATGAAAAAGTGCTCAACATTGATCATCAGAGAAATGCAAATCAAAACTACAATGAGATATTATCTCACCCCAGTTAAAAATGGCTTTTATTCAAAGGACAGGAAATGACAAATGCTGGAGAGGATGTAGAGAAAAGGGACCCTGGTACACTACTAGTGGGAATGTAAATTAGTACAACCACTATAAAAAACAGTTTGGAGGTTCCTCAAAAAACTAAAAACAGAGCTACCATATTATACAGCAATCCCACTATTAGGTAGATATCCAAAAGAAAAGAAATCAGTATATTAAAGAGATATCTGCACTCCCATGTTTATTGCAGCACTGTTCACAATAGCCAAAATTTGGAAACAACCCAAGGGTCTGTCAAGAGATGAATGGATAAAGAAAATGTAGTACATGCACACAATGGAGTACAATCTGCCATAAAAAGAATGAGAGCCTGTCATTTGCAACAATATGGATGGAACTGGAGGCCATTATGTTAAGTGAAATAAGCCAGGCATGGAAAGACAAACTTCACATGTTCTCATTTAATTGTGGGAGCTAAAAATTCAAACAATTGAACTCATGGAGATAGAGAGTAGAAGGATGGTTACCAGAAGCTGGGAAGGATAGTGTGGGGGTGGGGAAGAAGGATGGATGGTCAATAGGAACCAAAAAAAAATAGCAAACAGATTATTGTTCAATAATAAATTAATTGTACATTTTTAAATAACCAAAAGGGTATCACTGGATTGTTTGTCACACAAAGGATAGACGCTTGAGGTGACAGGTATCTCATTTGCCCTGATGAAATTATTACACATTGTATGCCTATATCAAAATATTCCATATGCCCCATAAATATATACACCTGCTACAACATATACACCTAGCCACAAAAAATTTAAATTAAAAACAATTAAATGAAAAAAAAAATTCTAAGTGAAAAGACAATTGTTATGGACTGAATGTTTGTGTCCCCCCAAATTCATCTGTTGAATCCCTAACCCCCAGTACAGCTATATTTGGAGATGGGGCCTCTAAGGAAGTAATAGAGGCTGGATGAGATCACAAGGGCAGGGCCCTAATCTGATAGGATTAGTGCCCTTACGGAGTGATACAGTCTGGATGTCTGTCCCTCCAAATCGCATGCTGAAATGTGATCCCCAGTGTTGGAGGTGGGGCCTGGCGGGTGGTGTTTGGGTCATGGGGGTGGATCCCTCACGAATGGCTTGGTGCCCTCCCCTGTGGTAATGAGTGAGTTCTTGCTCTGTTAATTAATGTAAGAGCTGGTTGTTTAAAAGAGCCTGGCACCTCCTCCCTTTCTGTCTTGCACCCGCTCTCCCCACGTGATGCACCTCCTCCCCCTTCATGAGTAAAATCTTCCTGAGGCCATGAGTAAAAGCTTCCTGAGGCCTCAGCAGAAGCCGAGCAGATGCTGGTGCCATGCTTGTACAGCCTGCAGAACTATGAACCTCTTTTATTTTATTTTATTTTTTAAATTTTTTTGAGATGCCCAGACTGGAGAGTGGTGGCATGATCTCTGCTCACTGGGTTCTGCCTCCTGGGTTCAAGCGATTCTCCTGTCTCAGCCTCCCAAGTAACTGGGATTACAGGCGCTCGCCACCACGCCTGGCTAATGTTGTATTCTTAGTAGAGACGGGGTTTTACCATATTGGCCAGGCTGGTCTTGAACTCCCGACCACAAGTGATCCACCCACCTCGGCCTCCCAAAGTGCTGGGATTACAGGCGTGAGCCACTGCACCCGGCCCTCTTTTCTTTATAAATTACCCAGCCTCAGGTATTCCTTTACAGCAACATGAAACACTAGTACAAAGAGATATGAGACACCAGAGAGCTCTCTTGCTCCTATCCCACCCCCAGTGAGGAAAGGCTGCATGAGGACACAGGGAGAAGATAAGAGTCTACAAGCCTTAGGAAGTAAGCCCTCTCCAGAAACCAAACTGTCTGAAACCTGGATCGTGGACTTATGGCTTCCAGAACTATGACAAAATAAAATTTCTGATGTTTAAACCACTCAGCCTATGGTATTTCATTATGGCAGCCTGAACAGACTAAGACGGCAACTTACAGAATGTAAGAAAATATTTGTAAATCCTATATTTTAAGTGTCTAGTATCCAGAATACATAAAGCATTCTTATAACTCAACAAAATAAACAACCCAATAAAAAGGGGAACGGGTTCACATTCTAAGAGGATGGAAGTGAAAAAAGAAAAAAATAAGGGCAAAAATCTTGAATAGACATTTCTCCAAAGAAGATACACAAATGGCCAATAAGCACATGAAAAGATGCTCAATATCATTAGTCATTAGGAAAATGCAAATCAAAACCACAGTGAGAAACCACTTCACAACCACTAGAATGACTGTAATTTTTTTTTTTTAAAAAAAGAAGGAGGCCAGGCACAGTGGCTCACGCCTGTAATCCCAGCACTTTGGGAGGCTAAGACGGGCGGATCATGAGGTCAGGAGATCGAGACCATCCTGGCTAACATGGTGAAACCCCGTCTCTACTAAAAAAATACAAAAAATTAGCCGGGCGCGGTGGCGGACGTCTGTAGTCTCAGCTACTCGGGGGGCTGAGGCAGGAGAATGGCGTGAACCCGGGAGGCAGAGCTGGCAGTGAGCCGAGATCGCACCACTGCACTCCAGCCTGGGCGACAGAGCAAGACTCCATCTCAAAAAAAAAAAAAGAGAAGAAGGAATAACTGTTGGTAACTGTTGATGAAAATACGAAGACACTGGAAGCTTTGTGCATTAAGAGTGGAATATGAAATGGTACCACCTCTGTGCAAAATAGTTTGGTATTTCCTCAAAAAATTAAACACCAAATGTTCATGTGACCCAGCAATTCCGCTTCTAGGTATATACCCAAAAGAATTTAAAACAGCTATTTATTTATTTACTTTTCTTTTTTTTGAGACAGAGTCTCACTCTGTCACTCAGGCTGGAGTGCAGTGGTACAATCTCGGCTCACTGCAACCTCCACCTCCCGGGTTCAAGCACTTCTCCTGCCTTAGTCTCCCAAGTAGCTATAGGGACTATAGGCACATGCCACCATACCCAGCTAATTTTTGTATTTTTAGTAAAGATGGTGTTTCACCATGTTGGCTAGGCTGGTCTCAAACTCCTGATCTCAAGTGATCCACCCACCTCAGCCTCTCGAAGTGCTGTGATTACGGGCACGAGCCACCACACCTGGCCAAAACAGCTATTTAAACAAACATTTGTACACAAATGCTCTTAGCAGCACTATTCACAATAGCCAAAAAGTGGAAATAACTCGAATGTCTATCAACAGATGAATGGATAAATGATAATACAGTATAGACATACAGTGAACTATAATTCAGCAATAAAAAGGAATGAGGTGCTGATACATGCTAGAATATGGATGAACCGGGATATTGGTTTCATGCGTAAACCCTGAAAACACTGTGCTAAGTAAAAGAATTAGACATATAAGGTTACATATTGTAATTAGAAATATCCAAAATAGGTAAATTCCTACAGATAGAAAGCAGGCTGATGATTACCAGGGGCTGGGAGTAGAGGGAATAAACAGTAACTGCTTAATGGACACAAAGTTTTCCTTATGATAAAGCTGGGCACAGTGACTCACGCCTGTAATCCCAGTACTTTGAGAGGCAGAGGTGGGTGGATCACCTGAGGCCAGGAGTTCAAGACCAGCCTGGCCAACATGTTGAAACTCCGTCTCTACTAAAAATACAAAATTTAGCCAGGCATGGTGGTGGGCTCCTGTAATCCCAGCTACTTGGGAGGCTAAGGCAGGAGAATCTCTTGAGCCTCAGAGGCAGAGGTTGCAGTGAACTGAGATCATGCCACTGCACTCCAGCCTGGGTGATAGAGCGAGCCTCTGTCTCCAAAAAAAAAAAAACTGTGATAAAAGTTTTCTTTTTGTGAGAGTCATTCCCAAGCAATAATAAAAAATAAAATTTTAAAAGTTTTCCTTGAGATAAAAATGTTTTGGAACATGACAGAGGTGGTCATTGTGAGTCATACGAAATGCCACGGAATTGTATGCTTTAAGTAGGTTAATTTTATGTTATGTGAATTTCACTTCAATGAAAAAAATCAAGAAAAAAACCCAGGTTAGGGATTAGCTCACCTTGCAGTGGGGTTAGTGCCTGGAACATGGGCATGAGGGTAGCTCCTGAAGGGCTGGTCAACTCAGGTTCTTGGGCTGGGTTCTGGTTGCACCTGTGTGTGAATTTGCCAAAAGTCATCAAGCCATATACCAGCGATCTGCACATGCTGTCTATGTGTTTTAAACTCCAACAAAAGGAAGTTTTGCTTTCTTTTTATAAAAAGGAAGTTCTTCCTGCTGCATTTAAGATGGTAACAGTAGCTTTTATCCAGTGACAGGGCCAGGGTGAGGGTAACATGAAATGATTCATGCAAGTGCAGGGTCAGATCCTGTCTTTGTTTAGAATCGAGATATTTTGGCCAGGCGCAGTGGCTCGCACCTGTAATCCCAGCACTCCAGGCCAAGGCAGGCAGACTGCCCAAACTCAGGGATTTGAGACCAGCCTGGGCAACATGGTGAAACCCCGTCTGTACTGAAACACACACACACAAAAAAAAATTAGCTGTGTATGGTGGAGTGTGCCTATAGTCCCAGCTACTTGGGAGGCTGAGGCATGAGAATCACTTGAACCTGGGAGGTAGAGGTTGCAGTGAGTCAAGATCGCACCACTGCACTCCAGCCTGGGCAACACAGCGAGACTCCATCTCAAAAAAAAAAAAAAAGAAAAAAAAAGAATATTGATATTTTATTCACCAGGCTTTCATAATAGTATTTATATTGGTTATTGAGGTTTTTGGCATCCCCTTTGCTATATATAGTCTGAATGTTTGTGTCACGCCAAAATTCATGTTGAAACTTAACTCCCAAGGTGATGGCATTAAGAGGTGAGAGTCAATTAGGTCCGAACGGCTCTGCCCTCGTGAATGGGATTACTGCCCTTATAAAAGAAGTCCCCGTGGTGGAGAAACAGGAATGCTTTTACACTGTTAGTGGGAGAGTCAATTAGTTCTACCTTTGTGGAAAACAGTGTGGCGATTCCTCAAGGATCTAGAACCAGAAATACCATTCGAGCTGGCAGTCCCATTACTGGGTATATACCTAAAGGATTATAAATAATTCTACTATAAAGACACATGCACGGCCAGGTGTGGTGGCTCACACCTGTAATCCCAGCACTTTGGGAGGTCAAGGCAGGCGGATCACCTGAGGTCAGGAGCTCAAGACCAGCTTGACCAATATGGAGAAACCCCATCTTGACTAAAAATACAAAATTAGCCAGGCATGGTGGCACATGCCTGTAATCCCAGCTACTCAGGAGGCTGAGGCAGGAGAATCACTTGAACCTGGCAGGCTCAGGTTGCAGTGAGCTGAGATCATACCATTGCACTCCAGCCTGGGCAACAGAGCAAGACTCCATCTCAAAAAAAAAAAAAAAAAGACACATGCACAAATATGTTTATTGCAGCATTATTTACAATAGCAAAGACTTGGAACCAATGCAAATGTCCATCAATGACAGACTGGATGAAGAAAATGTGGCACATATATACCATGGAATACTATGCAGCCTTAAAAAAGAATGAGTTCATGTCCTTTGCAGGGACATGGATAAAGCTGGAAGCCATCATTCTCAGCAAACTAACACAGGAACAGAAAACCAAATACTTCACTTGTAAGTGGGAGGTGAACAATGAGAACACATGGACACAGGGAGGGGAACATCACACACCAGGGCCTGTTGGGGGTTGGGGGGCAAGGGGAGGGAGAGCATTAGGACAAATACCTAATGCATACAGGGCTTAAAGGGATGACAGGTTGATAGGTGCAACAAACCACCATGGCACATGTATACCTATGTAACAAACCTGCATGTTCTGCACATGTATCCCAGAACTTAAAGTAAAATTTAAAAGTTAAAATTAAAATACTCTTGGAGGATTCATTTATGAAATTAGATCCTCTCATTATGAAGGGAAGTTTTAAGACTGTGTTACTTTCCCTTGGATGAAATAGAAACTGTTTGGCCGGGCTTGGTGGCTCAAGCCTGTAATCCCAGCACTTTGGGAGGCCGAGACGGGCGGATCACGAGGTCAGGGGATCGAGACCATCCTGGCTAACATGGTGAAACCCCGTCTCTACTAAAAAATACATAAAACTAGCCGGGTGAGGTGGCAGGCGCCTGTAGTTCCAGCTACTCGGGAGGCTGAGGCAGGAGAATGCCGTGAACCCGGGAGGCGGAGCTTGCAGTGAGCTGAGATCCAGCCACTGCACTCCAGCCTGGGCGACAGAGCGAGACTCTGCCTCAAAAAAAAAAAAAAAAAAAGAAATAGAAACTGTTTAAGTAAGTATATAGTCGTGCTTCACTCAACAACAGGGATACATTCTGAGAAATGCATCATTAGGCAATTTCATCACTGGGGGAACGTCATAGAGTGTACTCATACAAACCTAGATGGTACCGCCTACTACACACGGGCTGTATGGGAGAGCCTTTTACTCCTAGTCTATAAACATGTACAGCCTGTGACTGTACTGAACACTGCAGGCAACTGTAACACGATGGTCAGTATGTGTGCATCTAAACATATCGAAACACAGAAAAGGTACAGTAAAAATATGTTTCCAACTAAGGAAACCTAGAAGAGCTCACTAGGGAGTTTTGCTTGCTTGTTTCTTTTTTTTAATGAAGATTAGCAACAGTGCCTCAGCACTGAACCCAGAAAACCAGAAAAAAGCAAAAGTACTAATCATTAGGGAAATGATAGTGATAACTTGCATAGGGCTTGAGGCTGGCTCTCTTCTAAATAGAAGAGTCAGGAAGACATTTCTGGGGAGGTGATATTTTTCGCCAACATCTGCCACATGAAAATGAATGAAGCAGGCAAAGATGCAGTGGTTTCCAGACCAGGGTTTACCAACTATTGGTTGTTATTTTAGGCCAGGTAACTCTTTGCTGGGGACTGTCCTGCATGTTGTGGGATGTTAGGCAGCATCCCTGGCCTCTGCCCACTAAATGCCAATACCATCCCCAACTCACCCCAATTGCAACAACCAAAAATGTCTCCAGACATGGCCTCATATCCCCTGAGGAAGGGAGGGGAGTAGAGGGTGGGAGAATAACCCAAGTAGAGAAGCACTGTTCCCTAAAAACAGAGTGTGTTCAAGGGCCCTGAGGTGGGAAATGGTTGAAACCTCTAGGGACCAAAAGAAAGGCTGTCAGGTGTGATGCTGGTGAGGAAGATGGTGGCGAGGCGGAGAGGGTCGTGAGGTCTCCACATGCAGCCCCTTGTGGGAATTTGAGTTTCCTTCTAAGAAACATGGGAGGCTGAGCCACTGACGGTTTTAAAGTTGGGCGGGCCATGATCTGCGGAATGCTGGGGAATGGCCTGTAAGGGGTGTGAATGGAGGCAGAGGATCATTTAGGAGGTTCAAAGAACACTCAAGAATAGTGTTGAAGAGCTCAGCCCCTTACCAGCTGATGAACTTCTCAGTGCCTCAGCTTCCTCGTTTGTGAAAGGGGGATGGTGATAGTACAGCTACCCTGAGGGTGACTGTGAGGGTGAAAAGCAGCTGGTGTGGGCAATGTACCCAGCACAGTGCTGACACACCGCAAGCACTTTGGATGCCATGCTCTTATTATGACTGCACTAGTCCAGAAGGAGATGATGCAGGCTCTGAGTGGGGCAGTGAAATCACTCCTGCAGAGGGCTGCAGCTGAAGCGGCTGTGGAGTTAAAAGGGTTACTGATGGTGCAAGAGCATGGGGAGAAGTAGGCAAAAAAGAAAGCTAACAGGAGGTGAAGCACACAGGAACCACAATGGGCTAGACAAGCAGGTGCAGATGAAGACATCGCAGACAACTTCAGGGGCTTGGCTTAAGCAATTGCATGCATGGGGCAGGGAGGCTCCCATCTATGTGATGGCAAAGACTGGACGTCAATTTAGGACATAGTAAACGATTTGATATGGCCATGTAGATATATTAAGTCATTGCTAATCGATGGGTCAGAGCTCGGGGAAGAGTTCTGGACTGCAGATAGAGGTCTGTTCTTCATCTTTTACAAAGAAAACATTTAAATAATTTAATTTGAATTAAATATTTAGTAATAATAGTCAAAGGAGCTGGGCATGGTGGCTTACACTTGTAATTCCATGATTTGGGGAGGCTGAGGCTGGAGGATGGCTTGAGGCCAGGAGTTTGAAACCAGCCTGGGCCATACAGTGAGACCCCATCTCTTCAAAAAAGTAAAATCATTACTGGGCATCGTGGCACACACCTGTAGTCCCAGCTACTTGGGAGGCTGAGGTAGATGATCACTGGAGCCCAGGAGTTCAAGGCTGCAGTGAGCTATGATTGTGCCACAGCACACAAGTGTGGGCAACAGAGCAAGAGCCTATCTAATAATAATAATAATAATAATGGCACCCAAATTCTAAAGAATTTGTCCTACAGATAGATCAAACATATGAAATTATATTTGCATAAATCATTCATTAGAGCATTGTTTGTAATAGTATAGTTTGCAAATCACCTAAATAGCCATTGATAGAGGACTCATCAAATATACAGTAATATGTCCATAAAATGGAATATTATACAATTGATAAAAATAAGTCAACTGCATATGTTGTCATACAGAACGACCCCCAAGAGACATTGTTCAGTGAAAAAAAGGCAAGAGGCAAAATAAAGTGTATAATATACTACATTTGTGTGCTCCCTACTCCCAACAAAAAAATAGATTTGCTAATATTGTTACATGCATGGAAGATTTCTGGAAGTTACACAGTTGCTAACAACTGTAGCAATAGCTAGAGGACAGGATTTGATGAAAGATGTACTTTTTACTCTATGTTCTTACTTCCATTGTATTTGGAACCACATACATGTATTAGACTTTTTTTAAGTATACAATTTCTTAAAAAAAAAAAAAAAAAAAACAAATAGGCCAGGCGCAGTGGCTCATGCCAGTAATCCCAGCACTTTGGGAGGCCGAGGCGGGCAGATCACAAGGTCAGGAGATCGAGATCATCCTGGCTAACATGGTGAAACTCTATCTCTACTAAAAATACAAAAAAAAATTAGCTGGGCATGGTGGCGGGGACCTGTAGTCCCAGCTACTCGGGAGGCTGAGGCAGGAGAATGGCGTAAAACCAGGGTGGGGAGCTTGCAG